TAATCTTTCTCCTTTCCCTAACAAGAATCTAACATGTGGCCTGAAAGCATCTCTAATTTTCCTCAACTTATGGCTGATTTACATTCATACACTGAAAGCTTAGTGGGAAAAGCATTTTTATCGTTGAAGAAAATACCCTTTTTGAACTTTACTGCTTGCAAGCGATTAAGGAAACCTAGAAAAGGTCCATACAAATTACAGATACTTAAGCAAAAAGAAACCAATATCTCTTCTCTTATTTTCAACTTTGACTAAATAGATCCATTGTCCCCTTTATAAATATTAAAGACGTACCCACATAACACAACTTCTCTATCTCTTGTTCATTAATCTCAGATTTTTTTAAACACGTATTTCGTGCAACAACAGCTCCCTTTGGGTAGAAACCTGAGGGACTGTCTCGTTCCCAGTTCCATACACAATCATTAGAATTTGTTCTGGAGTTCTGTCATATGGAATTCAGTACTCATCTCCAGCTAGCACATTGCCACTAATTTTGCCCTGGACACCCAGTTCTAAGGGTACAACAAGGTCTTTATCTTTTAGTCCACCATGTCCTAGCTTATTCCTCAGCCATGAAATTCGATTTGTGAACTCTGACACGGTTATATCATATGGATTCACCTTCTCCAATGCCCATTCATACTACAATCCTTGAATAACTGCATCTTGCCCAGATTCCACTCTCAAATCTCAAAAGCCATGCAACCAGCTGAAAAGTTCACAATCATACGTTAATCAATCGCCCTTTCGAGTGATTCCTAGGAATTCTACTTGTTTCAAGAAACATCATGTCGGTGTATCACTTATTAGTCTGATTTTGGACTTATGCAATCACTAATGCAAATGATGCTACACCCAGCTCCAATGGTGGCCTCGAAATCCTTGATAATGGAATAGTCTTGACTGCATAAATAACATCTTTATGAGAACCAAAATCTCAGTGGCTGTTAGGTTCCATGTTCTCATGTCTTACATCAATCAATTCAGACACTTTAGAAGCCACCCGATTGCCACTAACAACATCTCTCTTGATTTGCGTACCATTTTCTCTTTTAAAGAGTCTCTTCCTCATAAAATGATGTCCAAATCCACGAGGGTTGACTGCCCTTTTTAGGAGAATGGTCATTTCATTGCAGTCCAAAATCCCAGAATAAGAGTACAAACATTCTCCCAACTCAGGCATGCATGGGTTCAAAAATGAAAAAACTCCAAAACCATAACACAACATCTATCCTAAAGGAAATCTAATGGAAAGCAAATGAGTAACTCTTCTGTCTATAGCTTTTGCTCTGCGGAGTGTGTTCCTTCACAATAAATGACTTCATTCCGCACCTGCCATACACAATACACATATAAATGACTATCTTATGTTGAATGGAAAGCTTTCCTACATAAATACTTGCTACACTTGGCTAAAGAGATGTTTGATGTATGGGCATCTGGCGGGAGTAACTTCTGCCATTTTCTGACTTGCGGGTTTTGTAATTAGTTTCTGGGTTGGGGCAATATCATGGCATTTCTGCCGGGTATGGCTGAAGCAGTTGCAGTTCCAATTGTTCATAGCATTTCAAGTCATCTCTTTGCCAAACTACGGATGATTCTTCTAAGGCAAATATTATCAGTAGAAGTTTTTTTTTT